GACTGAGAAGGTAACTAAGCGCAGACGGCTGCGGCTGAGTAGTCGCACCCCCAGAACCTCCAGAAACGGGTCCGGGAGGACCACCAGCTCCAGTACAAGAACCTCCAGCTCCAGCAGTACCAACACGTCTAGCTCCGCCACCGGGGCTGCCCCATCGGACAGCCCACTCGCGAAGCCGCTCCGGCAAGAGAGTCTCTTGTCAACGTGCACCAGTACCTCCAGCACTAGCGCCTCCAGCACCAGTACCTCCAGCACCTCCAACTACAGTACCACCAGCACCAGCACCTCCAGCTCCAGTAGCTCCAGCTCCGGCACGTCCAGCTCCGCCATCGGGGCTGCCCCACCGGACAGCCCACTCGCGAAGCCGCTCTGGCCAGAGAGTCTCCTGCCGACGTGCACCAGTTCCTCCAGCACTAGCGCCTCCAGCACCAGTACCTCCAGCACCGCCAACTCCAGTAACACTAGCACTAGCACCTCCAGCTCCAGCACGTCCAGCTCCGCCACAGGGGCTGCCCCACCGGACAGCCCACTCGCGAAGCCGCTCCGGTGAGAGTCTCCTGCCGACGTGCACCAGTACCACCAGCACCAGCACCTTTAGCACCTCCAACCGCAGTACCTCCAGCAGCAGCACCTCCAGCAGCAGCACCTCCAGCACCTCCTGTACCCGTAGGACACTCAGCACCCCCAGAGCCAGCACCCCTAGAGTCCGCACCCCCAGTATCACCACCTCCTTCAGCACCAGAGTCCACAGCGACAGGCTGCAGAGGCGGTGAAGACGGTCGAGGCGGAAACCCAGGAGGGGCCGCCAAGCGCGCTGAGCGGCGAGGGGCCACGGTGTCGGCAGCAGACGGGTCACCCCCCTCAGCTGGGCCAGAGGTGTCGGAGGAGACCTCCAACGGCTCAACCAAGGGGGACAGTCAACCTGGGACACACCTGAGGGAGCAGGACCCTGTGGGGGGGGTGGGGCTACCAAGGGGGGGTCGGGTACCAGAAAGAGAGACGGGAGGGGCACGGGGGAGATGCGGTGGGGGTGGAGACGGTAGTGGAAGACAGACTCGTCAAAGGTGACGTCATGAAAAGAGAGGACACGACGAGAACCCGGGTGGTAAAACTGCCAGGGCGGGGCGTCGGTAGGGAAGCCAAGGAAGACGCAGCGAAGAGTGCGAGGAGAGAGCTTGTCCGTGGGAGGATCGCGGACAAGAGCAAGGGAACCCCAGACCCGATACGCCGACGCATCACCAACCTCGCCCGTCCACCACAGAGTAGGGGAGGTCTCCGGGTGGGAGGCACGGGGCCAGAGGTTGAGCTTCAGCGGCGTATCGGACCGCAAACGACAACAGAATATGGGGAGCAGCCGCATGGACAAGGGAGGTGCGAGCAACCTCCATGACCAAGCCATTGCGACGCTCTGCAATCCCATTCTGTTGCGGAGAGACCGGAAGCGTGAACAACTGGGCGATGCCCTCAGCACCACAGAAGTCCTCGAGGAGGCGGGAGGAAAACTCACCACCTCGGTCAGAGTGCAGTCGCAGGACCGGGAGGTCCTGCCGGAACCGAGCGCTGAACTGGCGACTGACAGCACGGATTTAGCGGATCAACACACTGCGGACATCCGCCTTGCTCTGCAAGGGTAGACCATGGTGTAGCGCGTGTAATCGTCAACAACCAGCAAAAAGTAGCGCTCTCAGCCCTGTCCAGTGACGCGGGCTGGACCCCACACGTCCATGTGGAGGGTCTGCAAAGGAGCTGTAGTCGAAGAAAACGAGGAGGAGTGAGGAGCGGCGCGCTGCCGCCCCTCGACGCAGGGAAGGCTCGGCGGCGCAAGCGACCTCGGGAGCGGGGGCAGGGACCTGGGGAGGCCAGAAACAAGGAGACGGGAGTGCATGCTGTGCAGACGCAGCTGGGAGGGGTGACCAAGATGGTGGAGCCAAAGCAGAGCTGGGTGCGTGAGGAGCCGACACGAACAGGACACAGCTACCTCACCTGACGCAGCTACCGGACCTGACTCAGCTACCTGTGCAGACTCAGTGGTCAGTGTGTACAGGCGAGACCCAGGCCTCCGAGTGAACGTGGCGAGGTGATTGCCAGTGCGTGAGTCCGTACAGATCGCCACGAGCTCCCCTCTAGGCTGGGCCACAGTGTCCAACTGGTCCTGGAGGACAGCGGTAGCCACCAAGTTCTTAGCGAACGAGGGGAGGTGGAAACCTGAGAGGGAACCGGAGGGGGCTGCCGGACACGGGAGAACAGTGGAGTCACGTGCAACGACTGGGCCACCAGAGGGGTCGGCTAGAGTGACAGGGACCGGGACTGTGAGCCGTGTGACCATGGTGCAGTCGCGGAAGAAGCAGCGAGACGCGCCTGAGTCTAGAGTGAAAGAGTGCAAGGCCTCCTCTGGCTCTGCAATGGCGCTAGCTGATTCACAAGCACCTAGACTAGCAGCCTCTACACTAGCAACTCTAGGCACACACGAGTAATAGTCATCCTCAACACTAGCAGAAGCAGCATACATCGCATACATGCCAGCATGGATCACGTCCCAGTCACAAGAAAACACACCGAGATCCTTCTTAAGCAAGGCTTGCCAGTCAGGAGTCGTCATCTGCTCACCATGCTCCGCACGTTACAGACCGTCGAGGCGAAAGAAGCAAAGAGGCTCCGTGTGGTCGGTGCGAGTGCAAGTCGCTCCAGGCTGACCTGTGCGACGGACGTACACGCAGCGAGCTAGGCCACCTGAGCTGCCACGCCGGATCGCCCACTCACGAAGCTGCTGCGGCGAGAGCGGCACCTGCCGACTCCGCTGCTGCTGCTGTCCACCCCCAGAGCCGCCGCCACCACCCGCTGCACCACCAGACGTAGCAGTACGAGTAGCCGAACCTCCAGCTCCTCCCCTGCCAGCTCCACCTCGAGCGCCACTCCCGCCCCCTCCAACACCCCTACTGCCCCCACCACCCCCGCCACCTCGAGTGCCGCCGCCACCTCCTCCTCCCCCACCACCCCCACCCCCACCACCACCACCCCCTCCACCGCCACCGCCACCCCCGCCACCCCCACCACCCCCACCCTTGCCTCCCTTGCCTTTGCCGCTGCGGCGCCTCCCACTAGGAGCAGATGCAGCACCGACTTCCTCAGCATGAAGGAAGTCAACAGCAGCAGCAGAGGCAACAGAGGGCGTGAGCAGGGAGGGGGAGCACCCCTCAAAGACAGAGGGGAGGGCAGTGCCACGGGAGGCAGCTACAGCAAGGGCAGCGGAATCAGCCTCTAAGAGACGGGTCTCGAAAGTGGCTAGGGTGATTTTAGTGGAGTCGAGGGCAAGAAAGTGGTCTCGAACAGCACGAAGGGTGTCAGGGAGGCGGGTAGTGAGGAAGTAGAGAGTGAGATACATAACGGGCCTGGTTCTCAGCCAGAAAGTCTGGCTCGAGAGTGGCACGGTAGCGTGTGTCAAGGGAGCGCAGGTGAGTCATGAGGTCACCGACAGTGGTGAAGTCGGACAGCTCAGGAAAGAGGAACGGCAGCGCAAGTCGGCCTATGGCAGCAGAGGACGGGGAGGAGTAACGCTTGACTATAGCATCATAAAGCACTTTAGCCGTCTTAAAGCCAGCAGCTAAAATAGTGACCCCCCCCCAAACTTGAAAACGTGCTGTGTGTGATGAGTTGGTTGAAGTGAAGTGAAACAGAAATCGGGCTGTTTCAAAGAATCCTTGCAGGCAGATTGAACTCACGCGATTGGCTCCCACCAAAACAAACATTCGCGCTTGTACAACGAGTCACTTTTCTACACCTGCACGACAGTTGCACGGCGACAGTTTTGATCGTTGGAGACTACCTCAGCTTCAAGTTGGGAGGGGGTTCACTACTAGCCATTTTCCACTCGTGACTCTAGTTTTTTTTACTAGCATAGAATAGTTGAGAACCTAGACGTTACCCGCCTAGCAGCGTGGGTAATACATTAGTGGCTTGGAGGGTTTAGGCATTAGTGGGTTGCATTGCTCTTTCGCATCTCGCACAATTGTCACGCTCCTCACTGTCCGCCCCTCGCTCTCCGTCGCGCTTCCTCTCTCCCGTCGCGCCATCCTCGCTCCGTCGCGCTTCCTCCCTCCGTCGCGCTTCCTCTCTACCGTCGCCCTTCCTCTCTCCCTTCGCCCTTCCCCTCTCCCGTCGCGCCTTCCTCTCTCCGTCGCGCTTCCTCCTTCCGTCGCACTTCCTCTCTCCCGTCGCCTTCCTCTCTGCCTTCGCCCTTCCCCTCTCCCGTCGCGCCTTCCTCTCTCCGTCGTGCTTCCTCTCTCTGTCGCGCCTTCCTCTCTCCGTCGCGCTTCCTCCCTCCGTCGCGCTTCCTCTCTCCCGTCGCCTTCCTCTCTCCCTTCGCCCTTTCTCTCTCCCGTCGCCCTTCCTCTCTCCCGTCGCCCTTCCTCTCTCCCGTCGCCTTCCTCTCTCCCGTCGCCTTCCTCTCTCCCGTCGCCTTCCTCTCTCCCGTCGCCTGCCTCTCTCCCGTCGCCTTTCCTCTCTCTCTTCGCCCTGCCTCTCCCGTCGCCCTTCCTCTCTCCCGTCGTTTTCCTCTCTCATGTTGCCCTTCGCCTCTCCCGTCGCCCTTCCTCTCTCGTTGCCCTTCCTCTCTCCCATTGCCCTTCCTCACTCCCGTCGCCCTTCTTCTTCCACCTCCCGCCGCCCTCGCGTCCCATCGCAATTGCCTTCCCAACGCACTCCCGCCGCCCTCGCGAGCCATCGCAATCGCCTCCCGTCACCCTCCGTGTCGGCCTCCCGTTGCTCGTACCGTCGCTCGTCCCGTCGCCCGTCCAATCTCACGACCGTCGCTCGTCCCGTCGTTCGTTACGAACGCCCTCGCGAAATCCTCTGCCATCTCGTAGTAGTATCGACCTTTCTGCAGCCAACCAGTTCTGCTATATTTTCTTGATCTAATAATAGGAATTTTAATTTCGTAAATAATTACCTCCCCTCGCGTCATTCCTCTTCTCTTCCCTCCCCTCCCGTCGATCCCTCCTCAGGTCCTTGTTCCCGTTCCCTCGCTCTCTCTCCCTCCCTTCCCGTCGCCCTCGCTCTCTCCACTCCCTTCCCGTCGCCCTCGCTCTCTCCCCCCATTTTCCGTCGCCCTCGCTCTCTCCCCTCCTTTTCCGTCGCCCTTATTCTCTTCCCTCCCTTTCCGTCGCCCTTGCTCTCCCCTCCCTTTCCGTCGCCCTTGCTCTCTCCCCTCCCTTTTCGTTGCCCTCGCTCCAGCTCATCCCACCCTCCCCAATGCCCCTCCCATCTCCCTACCATTCCGCGGATTTTGCTCACGCAGATCTCCTCTCGTTTCTGTTGCACTATCTGTTCTTCTCTTGTCCTCTGATATCCTCTGTTTCTTGTTTTTCCCATGTTATTGATTTGCGTGAGTTGGACTTGCTTTGCATGAGTTGGACATGCTTCACGTTGTGAATTTGGCGCTGGATGTAAATGAGACTTGTACGTCGCAAACTTTTGAGCGACGCATTTGCACATGCTTGCGACGAATTTTGTTTGAGACGAAATGTGGAAACACGATCAGTATCATATGCGCCTGAAATAAAAAACAGGAGCACTTCAACTTTCAAGTGGACCCAACTAGAAGGAGGGGGTCACTATTTTAGCTGCTGGCTTTAAGCTGGCGAAAATGGGGGCGCTGGTCTAGCGGAAGGTGGCCACGGACAGCGAGGGCAGCAGTAGCATCGCAAGTAGTCCTTTGGGAAAGAAGGACACGGCCCGCTGAGTCAGAAGGGGCAGCGAGGGACCCCGAGGTATGCTCATACAGCGAGACATTTTCCCTAGCAACACTCTGCAGGTACCAGTGGAGGTCCTCTAGCCAGGACTCAAACTGTATCGGGTGGCCCTCGGCGTTAAAGGTGAGCACAGTGGGAGTCGCCATAGCAGCAGGAACGGCAGCAGCAGTGGCAGTGATAGCAGCAGCAGCAGCAAGACTAAAACAGCAGTAGGACAGAACAGCATGGGTGCGCGGCGCAGGGCAGCACTAGTGCATGGGGCGGCTCGGCTCGGCAAAGCGGCTCGGCAGGGCAGCTCGGCTCGGCAGGGCGGCACGGCAGGGCGGGCGCAGGCGGCAGCAGCAACTGTGCTGTAGCGCAGTAGCAGGGGCGTGAGCTGGCGGCACAGGCAGAGCAGCACCGGGCAGGGCAAGCGTGCGGGCAGGGCAAGCGCTCACGAGCAGGGCACGGTACAGGGCAGCGTGCAGGCGGCAGCTGCAGCAGCAACACTTGCGCGCGGGCAGGGCAGGGGCGCGGGCAGCGCTAGCAGGGCAGGGCAGAGGCACGTAGGTGCTGGGCAGCCGGGTACGCACGGGCACGGGGCAGCGGGGCACGCGCTGCTGCTGGGCAGCAGGGCGCGCGCTTGCGCTGGGCAGCCGGGCACGCGCGGGCGCTGGGCAGCGGGGCACGTGCGAGCACTAGGCAGCAGAGCGCGCGCTGGCGCTGGGCAGCTGGGCACGCGCGGGCGCTGGGCAGCGGGGCACGCGCGGGCACGAGGAAGCAGGGCGCGCGCTGGCGCTGGGCAGCTGGGCACATCCTATATAAATGCATGTATCTCACTGCTATTGTCAATTCTGTCTAGATTCAAATTTCTCTACTGACAGGGTCTATACCAATCACAGAGCACTTCCGCCGCTACACACAGACGATCAATCATGCCATCCTATAAAAGAACCATCAGTTTGTAACAAATAGTTAAACCATTTTAAGTGTTCAACAATTCAAGAGATACGTGCTCCACACGGGGAAACCACGCAAGGTGCTCCATTAGAGAAGGCTTCAAGGCCGGGTTGAGAAACCAGGAACTCTGATTCAGCCGCGTAACAAATACACAAACATGGACACTGGCCAACATCTCAAGGTTGCGTGGCTGGCCGGGTTGTCCCAAACAATACCCTGATTTGCAGGGCAAGCTGGGTAAAACCCCCTGCAAAATAGAGCTATGTCTTGAACCTGCTGCAAAGGTTGCACACGCCATTTTACCTCGATAGTGCAATCCTCGTTCCAGGTTCATTTGCACACGTAACGTTGAGATAAACTATCCTGTCCTTCAGTTCCACCTTCAGCAACAGCATCTTCATCCTGTCGGCATCCCAGTTCCTCCTAACGTGAAGGCCACTTACTTGGTTCGCCTGCCTGAGCATCAGCTTCAGTGCAACGATCGTTACTGAAGAGCCTGGTTACAGACACAGCGGTTAGGTTTGGCCCTTTTGAGGTCGTGGCATGGCGGGAAAGGCTGCGGCTCCTCAGGCGCTGCCCGATGGGATCGACAAAGACGAGGTGTGCGGTCTCCCTGTCGTGAACCTGTCCTCCTCAGTCCTTCCGTGCGTAGCTCGCAAGCATCTGGGTTTCTCGCGAGGCCTCCAGGCACATGAACCTTTACTGGGAGTTCATTCCGGGTTCGAACCCGAATAGATGCTTGCTTAGCGGTTTGTTGTTACTTAGTGAGGAACCAGATTCGTACGCTGCACGAGATTCGGTAGGTTGCACGCGACTCGTCAGTCAGTAGTCAATAGTCGCTTTAAACGCTGTGGTAGCAGGCAGCGGTTCGATTGCGGAGTGATTAATCCCGGTGCTATGGAACTGAGTCGTGCTTTGCCATCGACATTCGCGATCCTCGTTTCAGTGTTTCTTCGTTATTGTTTTCCTGATCCACGCACAGATCTATGAGATGGCAGCTCAACAAATGGAGTACCGAGTGAGCCTATTCAATTCGTGAGTATTCACTTTCCGAATTCCGTCTGGAACCCCATCCTTCATGCCCCATACTCCCCTAGCCCTCTCCTCCCTTGCTTTTCCCTCGACAACCCCTCTCCCTCTTTCCTCACTCTTTCCTCTCGTCTTTCCTTCCTCTTCCCCCCCTTCTCTCGTCGACTCTTTCCTTTCTCTTCCGTTCTATCTCCATCTACTTTGCTTCCCCGTACTTTCTCCCTCTCTCCACCAAGCCCTCCTTCACCCCTTTCGCCATATTCGTGATTGCATCAACGGGGCTGCATGAATGTGGCAGCTCAGCATGCTCTCTCTGTGCCTGTCCGTAATTTGTAAACATCAACCTCTCACTTCCCCCTTCCAACTGGGTTTGCCTTTCTGCCCCTTTTTCTCCTTCCCCAATCCATTTCCTTATTCGATGCCAATGACAGCATGGTGGCAACGTGTTTTGACAAGTGCTACGAGAAGAAGTAAGTACTCAATTCGTCTTTCTGCCTTCCATCATTTACCGTCAAATGGCCTACTGTAGCTCACGTTGTGATTTTTGTTGGTAAGGTAGCAAGCAACAAGCTTTGACTCACTGAGTAAGCTGCTCTTATCCTTCAACCAGTTGTCAGGATACATTTCTGTAGCACGAAGGTATGCATCGTTCTCTTCTTTTTAATCCTGTTGTTTGCACTGGTTCCTGTCATCTACCATGCCATCCATTCAGGTACAAGGAGTCGGAATTGAATCTTGGAGAGACTAGCTGTGTTGACCGATGTGTTTCCAAGTACTGGCAGGTGAGTTCAATTCAAATTAAACCAACGATTTGTCCATGGATCATTTGGTTGGGAATATTTTGTTGCGTGTGTCAGGATAGTCCGTATGTCATTGCTGAAATGAGTTTGCTTGGCGAGTGGGGTGTGCTGCGAGATTCTAATGGTGGTACCGTATTGCTTTATGCCACCTGTGCATACAACAGGTGCGAGGGATCATTGGCCAATACCTTGGTGTTTCCGGCAGTGGGATGTAATGGCTGCAGGGAAAACATGTTCACCCATGTAATGCTGTTGTACCCTAGTTCCATAATTTGTAGCTGTCTTTGCTAGTTGAATTAGCCGAAGGGAATGCTTGCTGCGTTGAAGCGCGGTGTTTCCAATCGCGTTTCCTACGGGACCCGCAATCCTTCAGTTCCTTGCCCGTTTGGTGCTGCCGCATTCGAGGAAATGACGAACCGCCGTCATTTCTTGTTTTGAATCCCGATGGGCAGTGGTTTTGACCACCGTATCGCTTCGCAATCGCGCTGAATTCCCACGGGCAGTTTGTGGCCGTAACGCACATGGAAAGTTATTTTCTGGGGTAAACAAAATATAAACCCTCTCGGGAAAGACAAGTAAACATGGGAGGATCAACCCTAAACACAATGTGGCAAGGTGTTTAGGGTTGATGCTCTTCTGGTTGCATGCCTTTTCCTAGAGGGTTTATTTTTGTTTGTCCCTGTGAAACTGTTTTGAGAAAAACAAACTGCCTGTGGGAATTGGGCGTGATCGCGGAGCGATGCGCAGTCAAAACCACTGCCCATTGGAATCGAAATTGTTAAAACACGGCGGTTCGTCATTTCCTCGCCGCATTCCCTAGGCTTCCCCCGCGGCGGGTTTTCTTCCAATCACCGCTGTTTCCCGTCTGACACAGATCCTTCCACCGATCCGAAGGCCCGCCAAGCAGGTTCGGGAATGCGATTGAAAACACCGCGTTGTTGCCTACCTATCCAACGGCTTCCTTCCATTTCCTGCAACTTCCTCCCTGCAGACCTGCAGCCGGCCTGATTGCCGCCTATCTAACCACTGACCACCATATCGAACCGCAAATAACACAGAGTCTTTCCTCTTTCTCATCATAGTGAGGGCCTTGCCAGCCACTGCAGGAATTCAGGCTTTCCTGCCAGAGCTGCAAGCGAGGTGGGATGGCTGTTTCCTCGTCGAAGCAAGTCGCCGTTCCGCTGTCCAATAGTAGTGCGTCCCTATAACACCCCCCCGCGGCCTGCGCCAGTACCGGAGATACTCAGAGGCGCAGCCGTGCCTGTTAACCCTTCGAATAATAGCCGCTAACGTACATTTGCAGAAAGAACTGCGAAAATAAAAAGGACAATTGTAGTGGAACGTACCATAGTTGCCACTACTCCTGCTTTTCCCAGTGCCCTTCATCCTCCGCGAAAATCTAGCACCTCTTTTATTCGGCAGCCAACGGGACCTTGTACGCCGCCTGACCCCAGCGTTCCTAATAGTACCATAGCAGTTGGAGTT